TAAGTGATACATTTGAAATTGGTAAAAGTCCATGGTGCCGTATGAGTTATGTATAAGGTTGTAATAACATGTTGAATAACTATGATGTAATGTGTTGTGAATTATCTTGTGTGTGATGTGCTGTAATTAATCTATGTGTCATGTAGGTCTGAAATTAAGTTGTCCAGCTCCCCTAGCCAGTGGGAGAAGATAGCACTGGCTGTCTCTGTAGTCCACTGTATGTTGTCAGTTTGTGTTATGAAATCCTGGTCCGGGAAAGCTGAGAAATGTGTATAGTGTTTTATTATGTGATTATTGATTATTGCCAGATTGTGCTGTTCTATTGCTGGTAGATGTGGTGAATGGTTGATAATAGGAACGATTATGGAAGCATTAGGGAAGGCCGAGCAAGCCTTGTTGACCACAGTTCTGAGCTGTTTCACAGAGGTGTTGTGGGGATCCTGAGCCCTGTTATTTAGGCCCACCGAGAGGATCAGCACTTTTGGGTTTCTGTTAATTGGTGTTTTTTCCAGAATCTTCCAGAAATGATAGAAGGAGGCTCCCGGGTAGCTGTCAGCCTGGACAAAAGGGTGGTTAAATTTGGGGATTCTGTGTATGTTTGAATCCCCCAGTATGGCAATTGGTTTATTAATTTTGAATTCCCAGTCCCGCAGCTTGCGGTTGTCTCTGGCCTGATGGTAAGTGGGGTCAGAGGCTGTGTCTGCGCATGCGCCCGCGCCCCGGTGGGGAGAGCCCCTCGGCTCGGTACGTCTCCCCGGCAGGTGTATTTTTGGAATGGGTGAGGAAAGATCAGAGTTGGAATAGTAGTCTGTCATGTTGACTTTTTGACCTAAATTACTCATCATTTCATTTTTCCTCACAGATTCTGTGTTACACCGGGGAGCCGCCTCTGCCTCAGTGGGTGCGCTCTCCCCACCCTGATGTGATCTGGGCGCGGGCGCCGGGAGATGGAAGGTGCCGTTTAATACTGACCCCAGGCCAGACTCTGCATGAACGCAGGTAGGTGTTGGGGTGCTACTGCGGGACTGGGAGCCCTGTGTGTCATTATTGTTTTTTTGAGTAATTATGTTTGTTACTCCAGGCTGACAGCAGTCCTCGGGAGCCATGGCATTCACCGTCCTCTGGGGGCAGCGCCTGTGGGGGGAAGTAGGAGGTGAGTGGTAGTCTGGGACTGGGGTGTTGTCCAGAGGCTGTGGAGAGATGTGGTTAGGCTGAGGAAAAGAGGGCTCCGTGTTAGGCAGGTGAGGAGGGAGGGAAAAAGAAAAATCCTCATCTGAATCACAATATTTCAGGGGGAGGAAGGGTTAGAAAGAGTGGCTGTGGTGAAGAGCAGATCATGTGCAAATGTAATTGTGTCTGGATCGATTCTGTTGCCGTAGCGTCTAAGAGCCCATTGTGTGGCTACTGTAAACGCCAACTCGTTGCCAGGGGTGTTAAGGAGATGTGTGATTATGTCTTTGTAATGTGCTAATAAAATGTGCATGTTTTGCCATAACCAAGTGAGTGTGTTTTCTTTGAGTGTGTCTGTTGTGTTTTGTGATGGAGAGGATGGTTTTATGAAGCTGGCCAGTTGGAGTGTTTTGCGTAACATCCCTTTAGGAATTTCGCCCTCCTCAAAAGCCTGCTGTATGTTGTTGTGATGATGTGTGGCTTGTATAAGTTTTAAGTGATGTTTAGCTGCAAAACGGGTGGATGTGTCCAGTGCCTGTTTAATTGGTGTGTGTGTGTGTTCGTATGTGCGGTGTTGTTTGTGCCGTGTGTGCTGCTGTGTCTGCTTTCCGGTCCGCTCTGTGTGTGGGGAGAAAAAGAAAAAGAGAGAGAGGGAGGGGTCCTGTAAGTTGCAGCCGCGGGTCTGCCTGCTCCCCCCGACCCCGCTCGTGTCGGGGTCCGCTGCCCTCCGCCCTGTGTGCACCCGTGTGTGTGTGACCCACCTGCGTCCATCTCGCTGCATGCGGTTGTTGCGGTTTCTGCGTCATGTCGTTCCGTGTTTCCGGGTTCTCTGTGGAGTAGACTGGGTGGAAAAAGTCTTATTTCTTTTTAATCCAACAGAGGAGGAAGCCGACAGTTGCGGGAGAGGAGGATGAAGCGCTCAGGTAGGCAAGGTGTTCACACCGGGTGCTATTAAAACGTAACTTTTAATGATTTAAATTTAAAAAACCAACGAGGGTCCTGGTTCCGAATAATAAAGAGACTAATTAAAAAGTTTAAGGAGCGGCAGCGGCTCCGCTGACAGAGCAGGATCCCCTGACGTTTCGTGCCTCGCCGGCACTTCTTCAGAGGGGAAATGAAAGGGGGAAAGGGTTAGGGTTAGGGTTAGGGTTAGGGTTACCTGCTGGAGGGCCTGGTGCGGTGGAACGAGAATCGAGGCAGGGCGGCAGTTGAGGGAGGACAGAGGTCGGCGCTGCGTTGCTACAGTGCCCAGCTGCAGCACAGCTTCGACCAGCTGACCCAAGAGCTTCTTGGGCTCACGCTGGTCGACACTTACACCGTGCCCAGGGAGTACACAGGTAAGTCATAAATCTGTCTGAGGTAACGGTAACGTTTAACACCTGTCTTAGGTGTCTGTCATTTAACATCTCCTGACACTCCAGGGACTGATGAGGAGGAAGCGGGGGGGGGCAGTGATGAAGGGTTCGAGGAGGAGGAGGAGGAGGAGGAGGAGGAGGAGGAAGAGGAGCCAGAGGAGATTCGTCTCCTCGAACACCACAGCGCTCTCCTTCAGTCCTCAAACCTCACCCGCCCCCCCCGCTTGGACCTAATGGAGGTGCAGCAGGCTGAGGAGGAGGAGGAGGACGTTATCGGGCCAGACGGTCGAGGCAGCTACCAGCACGTCGTGGCCCTGGCCCAGGCCCTCGTGGAACTGCGCCACCGCCGCTACGTCACTCCCAGGCAAGCCAGAGAGGTCACCGCTCTCTGGCTGAAATTGAGTGACTGGGACAAGGCGGCGGTCACATTCCCCCCCCGTCACCAGGACCGGCTCGTCCAGGGCCGATTCAGGACCACCCAGCGGCACGCTCACACACCAGGGGTGGATAGTGTGAAGCGGTAAGCAGTCACAATAAATTTCCAAGCTTTGTTTGGTTCTTGTTCTGTGCTGTCAGTCACTAACTAACTCACTCTCTCTCTCTCTCTCTCTCTCTCTCTCTCTCTCTCTCCCCGTGTGTGTCAATGTAGTGCGGTCCTGGGCAAGGGGGCGGGAGCGGCGCAGTCTCCCGATGTGTCGAGGCTTGTGGAGGCTGTCCTGCTGGACCTCAGCATCCTCCACTGCAGTGAGGGAGGGACGATTGCCGGGGTCCGCATTCATCGCTGGAGTGCCGTCATGAGGGACTATCAAACAATTCGAGAGAATGTTTATAGTTGTGCAGCCCTCATGCAGGCACCCGCATCCAGCTGTATGAGGTCAATCAGCGGACCCTGACGCAATGTTAAGACCTGATCCTTTCTCTCACATCTGATCTGAAGTGGCATTGTGTGTGTGTGTGTGTGTGTGTGTGTGTGAGTGTGTGTGTGTGTGTGTGTGTGTGTGTGTGTGTGTGTGTGTGTGTGATGTCATGATTACTAATGTGCATTTGTTACATTCTGTTTTTTAAGGCACACCAAGAGGAGCAAGGCGATGATGAGGGACACCATCGCCATTGCAGTCCCGGGGCCCAGCGCTTCCCAGACTGCAGCGGAGCCCCTGCCTGCCCCACGGACTGTGCTGCAGCAGCCTGAGCAGCCAGACCAGCCCCTCCAGCACCGCCTGCCTGCGGACGCTCTGGTCTGGCTGCCACCATCAGAGGGCCGCTGGCCCCGGAGCTATACGACCTCATCGTCGCCAGCTCCTCAACTGCCACCACCTCCTCCTCCTCCTCCTCCTCAGCCACCCCACAAGCCTCCACCAGTGTCAGCGCGGACGCCGTCCGTCCACCAGTGCCAGCGCAGACGCCGTCCCGTCCGCCAGCGCAGAGGCAGGTGTCACCCCCTCCACAGCCACAGCTGCCACTGCTCCACCAGTGCCTAGAAACACTGCCTGGAGGCGCAAGCTCCAGGAGGAGAAAGAGCGTCGTGCCCGGGAGCTGGGAGAATATATGAAACCAGCAAAGAAGGTCTCCCACTTCAACTGCAGGCACTGTGGCCAACCAAAGACGCGGGCGTTTGGCCACAGCCGCTACAAGACGGAGACCTTCTGCTCCCGGGCCGACGGGAAAGGGAGAACTGTGGAGCAGTGGCTGGCAGAGGTGAAGGGGCGTGATGGTGCAGCCCCCCCTCCCTGAGCGAACACTTTGTGTGTGTGTGTGTGTGAGTGTGTGATGGGGCAGCTCCCCCTCCCTGAGCGAACACTTTGTGTGTGTGTGTGTGTGTGAGTGTGTGTGATGGGGCAGCTCCCCCTCCCTGAGCGAACACTTTGTGTGTGTGTGTGTGAGTGTGTGTGATGGGGCAGCTCCCCCTCCCTGAGCGAACACTTTGTTTGTGTGTGTGTGTGTTTGGGAGGGAGGGATTTGTAAATATTGTGTATATAGTGTATTTAGTTAGTCAGTTGTGTTTGTTAAATTGATATTATGTATATATTTGTCATATATAAGTTATACCTTTTTATTTGTCCCACAATGGGCAAATTCCAATATCTATATAGTTGTATATAGTTGTCTTAATTGTTTTAGTTTAAATAAACTTTTCTTTTTTTAAACCAATGCTTTCTCCTGCTTCTTTCTGCCTTTAAGAAATTAAATAAATATAGGGAAGACTAGGTATCTAGAATAGGTGCCTGATATCAGTAAATCCCCACAAGTTACAGTCACAATACATCATTCCCTCTCCTCACTTGAAACTAGGGTCAAGGGGTCAACCAGGTCAGGTTCAAAGGCTTACTTAGAGACTAGGTGAGAATTGGCCTTTTACAAGTGGACATTGTAAAACAACAGGGGGTGCCGAGGGGCCTTCACTTCTCACCTCCTGGCTTCCTGATTAAAACAACAGGGGGGCTCTTATCTCCTGCGAGAACTTGGGGGTTTGACCGGACTGAGAGAGGGCCGAACTGGTAGGTGTGTCTCCCCCAAGAGGGGTTTCAAAAAAAAGGCAAAAAACAGACAGTCAATTCATTCAAGCATTTTATTTGGACAGAATGGAAGGCAGAAAAGCAAAGCGAAAAACCAGACATGTCACTTCATTAGGTTTGTTACAAATACACTTTTTAAAACTACATATGTGTTTCTATGTACCTTGACTAACAGAGTTCTGTATTGTATTTTATATTTTAGGGGACTACGACTGCACATCCTCCTCATCCTCCTCCTCCTCAGCCTCCTCATCCTCCTCGTCATCCTCCTCCTCCTCCAGCTCCTCTCCTCGACAGCTTCAGGCAGCAGAGCCAGTGGCGGGGACCAGCAAGCCCACCCGTTGCACTGTCTACAGGCGCAAAATTAAAGCGGCAAAGGACAAAAAAGTCCTCCAAAGTAGCAGGGGAAAGCCACAGCACCAGCCTGGGGACCCCTGCTACATCTGTGACCAAGCACGCACGGTGGATGGTGGCCACGCGTACTTCAAGGGCCAATACTTTTGTGCTGTGAAAGAGGGCCCTGGAGGACGCACAGTGCAAGAGTGGACCAGGGAACAGCTTGGCCCTGGTGAGCTGCAGAAGCTCCCCAGAACAACAGCCTGGAACCTCAAATGAAGGTATGAGAAACCAGAGAAACCGGGGGGAAAGTGAGGAAGCCCCACAAACTGAGGATCTGCCAGCTCTGTGGCCAGCCACAGCAGAAAGACTTTGGCCACAGCCAATATGGGGGAGAGCACTTCTGTGCTCTTTATGAAGGGAAGACTGTGGAGCTGTGGCTGGCTGAGAAGAGGTCAAAAAAACATTAAAATTATCCAACTGTACTGTATCATCCAAGCACCTTATATGTTTCATCTGTTCATTGCACCTTATATTTTTTATTTTTACTTTGGACTGCATTATACTGGTTATTTATACATTTTTTATATTGCATTCTATATTGCTTTTTTTGATTGTGTGTGTGTGTGTGTGTGTGTGTGTGTGTGTGTGTGTGTGTTTGTTGTTACTGTGTGTAATGCTGCTTCTACACTGCAATTTCCCTGCTTATGTTATACATTTTTAACCTTTCTAATAAACATTTAATTGATTAAATCCTTGTCTTCTCTATTTAAATATTTTTTAACTTAACTTTTTAAACCTGGAGCCATTCATGAGGCCAAAACCATTCAAATATTTATGTACATTTAACCAAACAAACCTGGAGCCATTCATGAGGCCAAAACCATTCAAATATTAATGTACATTTAACCAAACAGGTCTCGTCGCTTTAAATGCGTGCGGGGCCTTTAATTCTCCGTGTCGCCGCCGTATGATAAGTAGCCATGTGCTCGGGATGACGTAGGACAACAGCTTTTGACTGACACATGTCGAGAGAAGGGGGGAAAGGGGGGATCGTTCCAATTCTTTGGCGTTATAATCGGGAGAAATAGAAGGAGAGGCTCTTTGGGGCTGCTTTTTATCACACGAGCCCGGGGAAATGCGGCCGACCGGGGGCCGGGGGGCCGGCTGCGCGCGCCGCCCTCGGCGCTCCGCACGGCTCCCTTGCTTCTTCGCGCAATATGACCAGCAATGGTCTCTGTATGCCAGCCAATGAGCAGCAGCCAGTGCTGTCGAGCGTTAGTCGAACGTTGTCAGCTCTGGGCCAATGAGCAGCCAGTGCTGTCGAGCGCTAGTCGAGCGTTGTCAGCTCTGGGCCAATCAGCAGCTCGGATTGTCGAGCGTTAGTCGAGCGTTAGACGTTAACGCCCACCTCTTAACCTCACCGGCTGCCGTATGCGACGGACAGAAATCCCCGTGTGTATTTGAGAGAGCAGTGAGATCTGAGAGAGTGAGTAAAACCAAAATAAATAGAATATTAATGTACTGATATAACACAGCGACCCCACTGTACTGTTACGATGTACTGAATGGAGCTAATGTTTTATTACGTTCTGCCGGCACTCTCTGGTTAGCTTATGCTAATATTGAACGTGGACGTCAGGCGTCCTGTTTACACATTTAAACCATATTTATACTTCGAATTTCGACTCCAAACTGTAGTAACTACATCTACAGGGTCTAAGGAAGATAATCAGGTAGTCTGTTTATAGATTAAATACATTGTGAGAGATCGCCAGCCCTCAGAAAAGTAGTAACTAAAATGACCCCATTCACCTCCTTGTTTTTAGTTAGCAAAATCGCGGCTGGTCTGTTTACACATTTAAACCATATTTACACTTCAAATTTTGACTCCACATCGTTGTACCAGCATCCCAAGGGTCTTAAGAAGTGAGCCAAGTTGTCTCATCACGTTTTTAAAGCGTTTCCAGAGATCGTCGGCTCATCACAGCAGTGGCTAAATGCTCATTCATTTCCAACGCTTAGCATGCTAATAGCGATTTATATGCTAACGCATCTAAAGCACAGTTAAACTTTAAATATCAACTCCACACAATAGCAGTACAACATCCTAGGTCTCAACAAGTAAACACAGTATGGGAATACTATTTTAAACACATTTCACCGATCGGTAATGACATCGGCGGCAGTGCTAACTTACGCTAACGTTACATTGGCTCGCTGTTTCACTGCTAACTGATTACTGTATAATATATAAGCTGCCTTTTCGCTGTAGCACATAATCTGTTTAAAGATTAAATACATTTTGAGAGATCGCCATTATGTAATGTAATGTAACGTAGCTGTAGCTAGGATGCTACAGTATAATTACAACATGTGACGATCTCTGAAAACAAAATTAAAGTATGAAAAGACTATACAGTTAATGTCCTTAGAGCCTTAAGGTTATAATATCACCAGGTGAAATCAAAAGATAAAGTTTAAGTGTATGTTTTATACATTAACAATAAGCCTGTTTGTTTAATGGCTGCCAATGCATAGGGGGCTAACCCTGGGCTCATTATTTACCTGTTGTGTCACGTGATGTTAGTTTGTTAACGGTAATGTTTCAATAGTGAATGTGAAGTACCAGTATATCATTAATCTTATGTGTGATATTCCTGGTAATATAGCAGTTAATATGTAGTTTAACCTGTAATGCTCCTTTAATGCTGTGCTGTGTCATTTCTTGTCATTGTAGAAATGGTTTTTGCAAAACTGCAATTCACAGCCTCGCAGCAGCTTCTCCTGCGGGCCTCTGGTGAGGCGGTGGCCTACATCGCCGCCGAGGGGCCACGCGGGGCCGCCGCTGCTGCGAGGGCCAAGAAGCCTGAGGAGGTGGAGAAGGAGGCACAAGCCCACGTCGTCTCCACGGGCGGTGACCCTGGGAACCACATGCTGGTGCTGAGCTGCCACAGCATCCAGTTTGGGAAGTACCAGGGTCAAACGTTCCGTTGGCTCCTGGAGAACGACGTGGGCTACACGGTACAGTTGGTCGCCAGCCACCAGCAGGAGCGGGAGAAGAGTGCCTCCGACAGCCCCCTTATGGCCAACAAGGACGCTCTCGCCCAGTACTCGTGCACCCACCCGGAGTTCGCTGAACACATAAGATTCCACCGGGCGCACGAGGAGGCCCGGGCTCGTGCCAGTCAGCCCGGGTGTGAGGGCGAGGCCCTTGTTGGCTTTGGGAAGTTTAAAGAGGACACCCTGAAGGACCTGTACGAGTCCTCTGATAAGGACCGCCAAGGGTGAGTGATTGGTGCTACACACAATGGATTGTGAATTGCTGTATGTCATTATTGTTCACTAATGTGATGCCGTCCATGTTGTAGATTTGTCAAGTGGCTTCGAGGGAAGACACCGCACCCTGGGACTGCAATGGACGCCGCCAGGAAGTACATCCTGGGCCGAGACGCGAGCGGTCAGCAGAGGCGGCAGCTGCGGCTGCTACCCCCCTCCACCCACCAGCAGCCGCAGCATCAGCAGCAGCGCCCCCACCACCACCAGCAGTGGCCCCAGCAAGTCCGCTGCTTCCACCGCGCTGTAGCCACACAAGCCGATCGCCTCCAAGATCGCCGCCGGCGTCCCATGGGCCCAGGTGAGCTGCAGGCCAAGGTCAGGAAGCTGATGACCACACCTGCACAGCCTGCAGTTCGAGGTAGATCTCTTTCTTTCTCTTTAACACAACAGAGTACAGTTCACTGTACATGATTTACTAACCATTGCCCAACCCCCCCATAGCGGTGTCTACATCCTTCAGAGACCAGCGCCCCTCGGTTCCGCCGCCGCCCCACGCCACAGAGTTGACGGACGAGGAACTGGTCCAGATGGCCACTGACATAGAAACAGGTAACTGGCACCAAACTGGACGTGTCACATTTGCCATCAATATATATTCTTCTGTCAGTGTGTTTGTATTAACTGTAATTGTTTCATTTACTGGTCGCTACAGCTGATGCTTGAAGGACAAAGGTAGGTTTGGCAGGTAATATAGCCATCTTCGTAGGTGGTAGTGCCATCCTCACTCATGTGGCGGTAATGTAGATTTGATTAAACGCCTTCACATGTCTACTTCCCTTGGCTCTGCTGCATCTTGTAGCACTAAACCTTCTGCCCTAATCACTGGCATACTGCATGTCATCAACACTCAGACTCACTTAGTCTTGTCCCATGACTATCATTGTGCTGAATCTATTTTGTTGTGTGTGACTGTGTCTGAAGCTGACGTACAGGTCCTTCAGACTCTCCCGCTCCCGCTGGTGGTGACGCCTCCATCTCCACCTCCTCCGGCACCGTCGGAGGAGGTGGAGATGGAAGAGGAAGGAGAGGAATGTGGAGCAGCCCGCAGCTCCCACTCCTGCTTCGGCTGAGGTACAAACACACACACACACACACACACACACACACACACACCCACCTGTACTCATGGACGCACAACTCAGTGGAGTCGACTGTCAAACTGCATGTAGCACCGACTCAGCCTCCTTACAGTGTGTTTGTTTGTTTGTGTTGTTTTTTTCCTCACAGGCCCGGTTGCCTGAGAGCTGGCGGACAGCTCTCACCGTGGAAGAGCAGGAGTGGATCGGCCGGGAGCTGTTCCAGCCAGACAGCAAGGGGAGGACTAAACTCACCACGGACCTCAAGCTGTGGTGGGATCCCCCTCAGCCCCGGCCAAGTTATACTCAGCCACCCGCCTCACCAGCTGCCTTCTTTGCATGTCGGCTGTTCCTCTGGACGCCCCCTGCGTCTGAGGTAGGCACGCCACCTCTGCATCTCACATCACCACACTGCGCTCTTTTCCTCCCATTCATCTGACTGATTGTTTTCTGTCTCTGCTTGTGTGTCTGCAGGACTACAGAGGACCAGATGACCAGCGGGGGGGGTCCCCGGTCCTGTTTCCCCCGGCCCTGGGGTTGTTGTTTTTGTTGCCCCTTTTCCGAGGGGGGGGTAGATGAGCTAATCCGGGCTTTACGAGGCCCTGTCAAAATTCGACAGGGACCGAGTAGTTTACCCTCCCGCTACAGGGACAGGCCAGCTCGGGCGCTTCAAGGCAGCGAAGCCTAGCCGCACCAGTATACCTGGTGTGGAGAACATGAGACGGTAAGGCTACACTTCCATCACACGTTTCCCTGACGTACACACGAGCTATTGTAATGTTCACAGCATGCTCATATCCATCATTGTTTTTGTCCGTTGTCCGCAGCTGCCTGGTCGGACAGACCTCTGGACCTGCCAGCAGTCCCAGTACAGAAGTGCAGGAAGTGCGGCCAGCCAAAGCGGAGGGAGACCGGACACACCCGTTACGGCAGTGGACATTTTTGCTCTGCTGCGGCGGGTTAAGAGTGTGGAGGACTGGCTGAGGGAGATGAAGGAGAGGGACCAGGGTCGAGACCCGGACTGATTTCGCACTCTTGCTGGGGCAGGTGTATATAGTTGTTTGCAGTGTTGTGTGTGTGTTTTTTAAAATGTTTTTTTTCCATCCAAAAGGAGACCGGGACTTTGCCGCCAAAGGACTGGAGTTGGAGGCTTTCTACCAACACTGGTCCACCCACCCTGCCACAACTCTTCTACAGCACAGTGACACTCTGCTTGGAAAAAAATGTGTGTCCCATTCACACCTGTATAACACGCTGTCATGCCTCTGTGCTGTTCTGATT